ACGTTTCCAACCATACTGTGTTGCCTTTCTGAGTCATCGGGCACTCCATGTATAAATAAAAATTGGAAGGCATCACTGATTCCTCTTTGTTAAAAGAGGCACTTGTGCGGCTTCTTACCCTACCATGTTGGAACACAACATCTCTCTCTTTACTTTTGGTGATTTTTGCCTTTCTGTCTAAATCAAGAGCTATATTTTTGTTCAAACTAAAAGAGAAGGGTGTCCCCAAATTGAGATTCCAGCTTATGAGTTTCCTTCATTTTTTCTGAGCTCAACTTTTGGGGTGACTTTGGCAGGTTCCTGAGAACAGAGATTCCCCCAAGCTCTTGTGCTAACTTTCAGGGGGGTACATTTACTTGCAAATATATCCCTCTCTATCTCACAATAAATGTTAAGCCAAAGTATTTCTAATTCAGAACAGGCTCATCATTCTTTCTGTAAAACTTTACAAGTATCAAACCTACTACCTGTAGGAACAGGCCTCTTTTTACTAGGTCACTTATCATCTGTGTCTTTATTAAGTGGAATTGTTTTTTCTGGAGGGGGTGTTGCTAGCCCTTGCAGCTAGGAGTTCTAGTCTAAATATGCTGGCATGTAAATTTTCTGAGATTTTCACTTCACTTTAGGAAAAAGCAGTTTCTTTTTTGGTGTCCTAGGTCGTTCGAATTAAGCTCAGAAGGTAACTCTGCAATTGGTTCCATCCTGTTAATAATTTCATAGGAGGGTTTGAATGCTATGCTTCTAACAGTTGCCACCACACTGCATTTGCAATCCTCAGTGAAAATGCAGAGTGATTTAATGTACTGATGATGCAGATAACCCAGATATTGAAGATAAGGTTTTCTGGGGCTAAGCTCATCTAGGGACAGAGAGCATGTGCCATTGGTCATCATTTGTCCTGGAAGCCTGAATACACTTTAATGTTACTTAAAAAAATAGTGCTCATGTGGTATATAGAGAAAACCAGCAAGCAGATGAATGAAATAAAACAAAACTAAATTTTTGAACTGTAAGATCAATTAGTGGTTACCAGAAGGGAAAGGATGTGGGGGCGGTGTGTGTAAATCATGAAAAAAAGGGACAATGGTATGGTGCAGGGTAGCTGTGACCTTAATATGATATATACACACGTTGAATCTCTCGATGAATACCTGAACTTACATAATGTTATAAGGTAGAATTACTTTCATGAAATAAAATGTTACTTTTGTTATGCAGAATTTAGACACATTTGATGCTTTTAAAACATGCCCTCCAATATTTTACCACTTCTCCCATTGAGCCCCACTGAAATCCCACTGAGAGGAGGTTCTGTGTCCCTTCCCCTTGAATCTGGGAGGGCTTGGGGGCACCTCCACCCATGGTGGACTGTCAGGGCTTCTACTTGGTTCTCACACATTACTCCTTCCAGACACTCTCTGGACAGTCCTTGGAATCCAGTGGTCAAACTCTGAGAAGCCCAAGCCCATGGAGAGTCCACGTGTAGCTGCTCCAGCTTTCCAGTCCTTCCAATTCAGGTGCAGACATGTCAGAGAAGAAACCTGATGATCCCAGCCCGCAGGAGTTCACATCTGCTCAGCTGGGGCCCTGGGCGTGCTGCCCAAATCCCCACCCACAGAATCAGCAAGTGTAACTCACTGTTACCAACAAGGAGAACTAGAACAACAGGCTTTCAAAATTTCTCTCCCATTCTTAGTTGTTCAAGCGTCCTACTTGCTCTTATCTTATTTTTGATGAACTGTGATGCCCCAAGGAATGTCAAGGCACAGCAATAAAAAGATAAAGATGACTAAGGGATTCCTGGGGCGGGGTGGCAGCTGAGAAAGAGCATGTGACGGAACCATAGATGCTGGTGCATAGCTCCTGGGGTTTGCCAAAAACAATTACAAACGTGGACTTTACAAAGAACGTGCAGATGCATTTCGTGCCATCAATTGTTGCCACAACGTCACTTTTACTATGAGTAACCTCCTTATTGTTATCATCACCATCCTTACTTTATAGATGAAGAAACCAGAGTTCAGAGAGGGATCGTGAACTGTGCAAAGACTACACTGTTGTTTGGGGGTGGGCAGGAGAAAAGGGCCAGAACTCATGTCCCCCAGCCTCCCATCTCCTTGCTCGTCCTGGCACCAGTTGCTGTACAAGAAGGGAACTGCTGCCCCTTGTGGCAGGTGGCCTTGCTTCATCATCCTGAGCTCTAACCTTTGGAGGAAGCCAGAAGTGCCCCTCCACTGAGCCGGGCCCCCAACAGCAGCCCTCCAGGGCTTACAGGTGCTCATGGATAGAGGAGCCAAAGAGAGGTTCGGCTGAGCTTTTCATTTCTCTGGGTGAGCATGCAAAGACTTCCGAAGATTCTCAGTGCAAACCTCAGTCTACTGTGCTCTCTTTCCCAAGTTTGATTTTTAAAGATAATTGCTTCCATTTCTCTGCTAGCCATGTTCAACTTCCCTCTGGTCTCTTGAACATATGGGATATAGTTGTACTATGTGTTTTGATGCCCTTATCTCTTAATTCTATCATCTGTATCATTCTGGGTCAGTTTCAACTGACCCAGATGGGATGCATTTTCTGCTTCTTTGTATGCCTGGTAATTTTTAATTTGATGCCCGCCGTTGTGAATAGTATCTTACTGGGTACTGGATATTTTCGTTTTTCTGAGCTTTGTTCTGAGACTTGGATACGTTACTTCTGAATCTGACTTTCAAGTTTTCTTAGATGGGATCAGATGTGTTTCATGGAAAGTTGATATTTTCCTTCTACTGGGCACTCTTCCCTCTAACCTCTTGACACACACGTACTGGTTAGTCCTCAACCGAATACTTGAGAGGGACCCTCGAAAGGTCTGGAATTCTCTCTCTGTGCAGAACTGTCATCTCAGGTTGTCCGCCTGAGAACTGTAGCTGTTCTGACTTCCCAGACTCTCAGCTCTGTCTCCTTAACTCAGGACAACCCCGGGGCCCTGCCTGGAGTTTTCTCCACCTGTGCCATGGCCTAGAAACCATGGCCCACATGACCCCCTGGGAAGATTATAGAGCTCACTTCATTTCCTCCCTGTCTTTCAGGGCCCATTGTCATTTGTTGTCTGGTGCCCGATGTCTCCACGACTGTGCTTTATGTAATTTTTTCCCTGAGTTTTACTTATTTTAGGTAGGAGGATGATGCTCAGCCCTGTGTGTCTAAGAGATTCATGAGGTAACAACACCTCATTGATGGCTGAAATTGGATCATCATTTAGATACCTTGTCTTATTCATCCATTTTCTTTCTTTCTGGAACTCTTCTTTCAGTATTATTGAATGGGATCCATTTGTAGATCCTTGAAGTACTTCAGTCACCAAAAAATCCTCTTGGATATTATTTGAGGCTAATTCGCCCACTTTGTGAAGCTGAGATTACAGTTTGAGTGCATTGGTACACTTTATGGCTGAAATTCAGATGCTAATTCATCCATCAATAGGCAAAAACATTCATTTTTCTTTATTTATACTTCAATTTTGATATTTGGATGCTTTTTTTCTGGTGCCTTATGCTCCTTATTACATGGATGCTTTGTGCCTATTGCTTATTAAGTTATACTGCTGCCTGGCTTTAATACCTTGTACTGGCGGCAAGACCTGCACATTAGAAATCTCCTTTATCCCTTGCATTAAAATCAGTCATACATCCACTGTATTTCCTAGGAATCCTCTTTGTACTTCTCTCATCTAGTTATTTTCATTACAGAAATAGAGGTTCACTGTAAGGTGACATGCTTGGGGGAATCCAGAGAAGGAACAACTGACTCTTCTGGATTTGGAAGTCGCCCAAGGTAGCTCTTTAGTAGGAACTCCTGGGTCTATTGAGGGGCCCACCATTGATGTGACCCATCCTTCCCATGTATCCACTGGTCTGAGGTTGGATTCCCCAGGAAACATACTCTGGGATCGATATTTGGACACAGAAAATACGGGGGAGGGTGGAATGGGATCAATTCCTGAGAGACAGGAAGGAATAGATTCCTGGACAGAGGTAAAAATTGGGGTACAAGGCAGTAGCTTGAGATCTCAGTGCACCCCACAGGGAGCCCTGGAGCTTATGGCCACACAGAGTTGCTCCAAACTGAAGGAAGAGGGGCTGGTCTAGACTTTGCTTTCCCCTTCCCACATTTCCTTAGGTGCAGGTCACCCTAGGAAGGAGACATGATGATGGGTGAGGCTGTTGAGGGTGATTCCCAGAGAAAGACTCATTTGAGGGCCACCAGCCTCCAGCACCCCAGAAACCAGAGGAAGGAATTCTTGGAACAAGAAGTCACTTATTGACTCCTCGGTAGTGGTTTCAACTATCCATCAGCTCTGGAAAAATCACTCATGATTTTTTTTTTCAATTAATATTTTTGAAATGCCTACCATGTGTTTTAAGATCTGAGGGAAAAGAGGAGTAATGGCATTCAAACAAAACTCCAGTCTTTATCAAACCGTCACTCTTAGTGATGATAAAAGTACAGGTTTTCATAAGCAGTGAGAAGTAATATAATGTAAAATAATACAAATGATTCTCCAACTTCATGTGATAACAAGTCATCTGGGAATCTGGTTAAAATGCAGACTATGATTCAGTAGGTCTGGGGTGGGACGAAGATGCTGCATTTCTGATAACTCCCAGCTAACATTGTTGCTTCTGGCCCATGGACCACACTTTGAGTAGAGAAGTTACAACAGGGTAGACTAGGAAGGTCAGGTGGTGGGAGAGTGGTCTTGGAAAGGTTAAGACCCCAGGAAAGAGAAATTACTTCATCTATGTCTTCATTTTCTCAACTGTAAGATGTGACTAATACAAGACAGTCTGGCACATAGTAGGCACTCAATAAATATTGGCTGCTATTGTGGTTGACTTTGGCTCATCTCAACCCATCAAGGTTGTTCTGCCACCACCTACCTCACAATCATTAATTGCTATTCCCACTGACTGCTGCCATACATTTTTTTTTTAATTTTCCCAAAATAAGAATGAGTGACTCACCTCTGCATGAGCCAACTGCTTTGGGTCCCGCCATCTCATAAGGCTGCTGACTGGCCTCCTGATTGGTATTCTTGGCTATGTTCTCTTCATTGGTTTGTCAGCTAAAATTGGAGCACAGTATGGTCATACAGTATAAAGAAAGCTATGTAAGGTGGTTCCCTTAGCAAAGGCTCTAGGCAGGCTCTAAGGCTAATGCTTAACATGTGTGCCATATTAGGTCCGGCCCCGTTTTACTAGGGCCAGCTCTTTGTTTATTCATTTATTCTAATGGATAAAGAGCTCCTTGAGTATAGGCACCAGTTTTTCCTGACACCTTATACTGTGTTGGACGTACAGTAGGAACTTAGTATTATTATGGAGGTTAACTAACAATACTAAGGAGGTACTATGTGGCCAACATGCTCTGGAGAAGGTTTGGAGGAACAGGCTGACAGACAAGGAAGGAATTTGAAAGACAAGGAGGAGTTCAGAGGATGGAGAGAATAATTTAAAGAGGGTCACTTGGATAAACAAAGTTTAATGGGTGAAAAGATCGATCTTTTAGGGAAAATACATACCATGTCTTGGTTTGTTCAAAGATTAAAGTAAATTTGGGTAGTCTTTTCCCTGGTTGCAAATATTATTTGGTATTTTCTTTGGTCTTTCCATGTAAGAGCTGGGTAGCTTACACTTGTGTGCATACATGCATACATACAAACACGCAACCTGTAACAAAGAGAAAACATCCCATTAAAATGTCTTCCATGCGTGCATTTACTTCACTAGCTACAGAGGAATTAATACCCCAACAAAGAGTAATTCAAACATGAAGAGGCAGCTTGCACAGAGGGTGTTTTTTTTTTTTGCTGGGATTCACAGATCTTATTTTAAGGTTGAAGCCCCAGGTGTCCTTCCTGTTCTTTTTAACTGACGCTTGTGGTTGTGCAAGGACTACGGCTGGCCCTGGTGAACTGCCAGCCAAGCTCAAACAAACAGCCACTTGTGGCTGTGGACTTCCTCTTGGCTCTGCCTGGAGGCAGCAGTTAGTGTTGGGGAAGGTGGGCTGGAGGCTGAGGTCAGACTTTGAGTGGTGCTAATTCTGACTCTAGTCTCCTCATTTTCATCACTGTGGTGATATTGTAAGCAACTCCCTTGGACAGTAATTTCATCCAAGGAGAATTTTGGAGGGAACAATGCATTCAACAGGGCCATCTCTAGTTTTTCAATGAATGTGACTTCTGATTGTTGGGGAAGCCATTATTTTGGTCTTTGGGATACAGTTGAAGTTTGCTTCTCTTCTATTAAGAAAAACTCTGCTTAAATGGATGAAGCAAATGAGAATTAGGGGGTATGTTTAACCCATTCAAGATCACTCTACACCTGAAAGACATTCTAACTAATCTCCCACTGCCACTTTTATCCTCGAATCTTTACTGTACACCACAGCAAGATTAATTAGTATATTTTCATCATGTCATCACTAAAGTCTCTGTGATTCCTTTTGCCTCTAGCATGAAGTCTCTCCACCCTTTGCTCAAGTTTAATTTTGCCCTCCTCAATCTGTCCCCATTTTTTCCATCCTTGCATACTATTTTCCATACATAAATTCTTAAATCTAGCCAGATTGGTAAACTCACTGTCCCTCTATCCCACATTTCCTATCTCTAGGTCTTTGCTTATATATTTCCCTACTGGCCATACTTACTTATTTCCTCTCTGAAGTCACTGGTGTTTCAAATTTGGCT